GCAAGTTCTGAGTCCTCTCCTACTCCCCAAAGACATTACAGCAATTCCTCCATTTTCTAACTGCCTGTAAGGCTCAGTGATGGGTCCAGGATTCAGGCTCAAAGGGCCTAACTCCACTTGAATGTTTGTTTCCTGTTGTACTGACCTCTCAAGAGGTCCAGAAACAATCAACAGAGAAGAGGATATACATAAATTTAAATGGAAGTTACGCCCTCTGAATTTGAACTGTGGCTGGAGATCCAAGATCTGGACTTGGGCCTTGAGGTTCATTACTTGATTAAGCACTGTTTTAATGGCCTGATGAAATCAGCGGTATGTGGACAAGATCGCCTGGCTGAGACACACCTTACAAAGCCCTGCTAGCCAGAACAGAGGGATTTTTTTCCTAATGGATTGTGACAGAGAAACTCAGCGTTACAATCATAATCCTGAACTTGCCCGACTCTTGCGGTCTTGATAAATCCCTTCCATAAAGAGTGTGGCTTCCAGGATTGGATGCCACCTGTCAGGGCTGACAATAGGCAGATACCTGCTGCAGGAAGCAGACGGATGCCAGCCGTCTCTCTCCTGGAAGGATAATCCCTATCGCTGAGTGGAACACATTAACATACTTTCACTTCATCCTACCCCAAAGCTCTCTATTAGTACACACTTAAATAGAGGAGAAAGTGCTGTGGAGAGGATGTCCTCCTGGTTTGCCTGCCGGYGCTCGTGTAATCTTTAGATTTGCCTGCCTAATGAGCTGAGCACTTTAGCCTGGCCCAGCAAAAGGCTTGTGCCTACACTTACCCAGAGCATCCAATACGGGTCRTGCTCCAATGTCTTCAGGACGATGGATATGCATTTCTTTGGGCATGGACGAGAGCTCAGCAGGAAGGACTGCAACCTAAAAGCAGCACATTAGCTTTAGAGAATAAAAAATTCATTGTACCCAGGGACCCCTTTAATATTGCAACCTCCTTTCTCCTCTCTTAGGCTCTGTGCAGGCTGTAGGGCCAACAGCATATCYCAGTCTCCCATAGGCAACTCAGTTCTAGCTTTGGGATAGCAATAAGGCCGTCTCTAACACTTAAGTGTGCTTATAAGCAAAGACTTTATGTTTTAACAATAACACCTTGCAGCTGAGCTGCCATACATGTAATTGTGGCACAGAAAGTATCTGCCCTCAGTTTTTGAAATTTGTAGAAATTGGCTTTGCAATCTGGTGATTAATTCTTCCAGCTGAAATACATGGAAGGAATTGGCACCAGCTCTGTCAGTCTTATGTATCGTTCTGTGCTGTAGATTTTCTGAGAAGGTTTAAACATTTGACTGAAAACAGGGATGACTTCCTTATTTTTATCCTGAGAGTCTACATACATACAATTTTGAAAATACATGGGAAAAAATAATCCTAAAAATGTGCTGAGTTTTATGTCAGTCCTCAGATGTTGCAGTTGTTCAAGATTCTTTTCCAACACCCACTGACTTAAGGAAGGTAAGCCTAAGCAAATAATTGTCTTTACCGTTGCTGTTATTCCCATGTATATAGCTGAGCTTTTGTGCAAAATATTCTCCAACACTGTCTTGCATATCAGAGCCTAATCCTATTTCCTTTGAAGGTGGTTAGCGGAAATCTACTGGTCTCAATGGGAGGACAATTCCTTCTTGTGAACAAGGAAAGGCATTTACATAAAAAAATAATGTCAGACTGAAGAATTCCCTGGTGGTGTCTACAGACTCAGAGGGCAGAAATTCCTACCAAGTGTTTATTTCAGAAACAGCAAAATACTGCATTCTTTACATGAACAAGCAGGATGATGTAAATTGTCTGAAAAAATCAAAAAAGGCATTATCTCAGATTTTCTATGATGTCCATTCTAACATTCTTTCTCCCTTCCTCTGTGACTTTTCTCCTCTTAGTATTCTTATACATATTGTGAAGGACATGATTTACTATTTGCTCTACTATTACTATTCTGGCAGTGACAAGAATAATATGCATTGCAAAACTAACAGAATGTTAAGAATTACAAAGAAATATTTCCACTTAATCACATATACTTCTATATTTATCATTATTTCCTGTTGCTATTGCTGCGACATATGAGTATATAAAGTTTCTTGTGTCTCATTTTAATGTGCAGATTTGATTTGATTTGCTTAATGTCCTTTGGCTTCTCACGCAAGTGGAAATTTAGAGGGAAAAATAGTATTTCTAATATTACATGTTGCCTGTACTTATGCCATTTTAAATATGGCATTTCTCATTTTGGAGCTTCTGGAAATTTATTACGCTTTAAATCCGTTCCATTGCAATATATAACGATGATTCGTGACTGATTTCCTTACGTAGCTGATGGTGTGCACTTTCAGGTAGTTAAAAGAGAATACCCTCCTTGGAATATTAGTAAGGCTCATTCTACAACACAAATGAAAACTATTTTCTTCATGGGGACCACTGCTTCCCAGCCTGGATTTGGCTACTGTGAACGCTAGCCTGGAGGGAGCTACTGGATGGTCGGAGACGAACCCCGTGGGACGCTCCTCCCTGGAGGACGAGCCGTTGTGGAGGGAGCTGCTGCTGCAGGCCAGATCCCGGWGAGCTGGCACAGGCCTGGGCAGAAGCCAGGCTGCCCCATTTTCCTGTGGGCACAGGGCTGGCACTGCACATGCTGAACTACCAGGCAGCTTTAAGGTCATCTGAACAGAGCACCCTCGCCTTTGCTCTCTGTAAGATCGGGGCTCTGACTCGATCTGTTTGAGTTGCATTGAGAGAACCCCCTGCCAGAGCAACTTTGCACTTTTTGTGACAGACCAGGCCACCTCTTCAGCTCTCCCCTAGCGCCCTCCAGCCTCCCAGGGCTGCTCCATCCTCACCGCATCCCTGTGCAACCCCTCACTGCAGTGCTGCCCTTTCACACGTCCTCTTAGTGGGGGCTGCCCCGGCTTTGAAAAGTCCTTCCCAAGCGGCTTGCAAAGCAGGGATGCACAGGGAGCAGGCACAGAAGGCGGCTGGGAGCCGAGGCAGGGCCAGCCCTACCGCTCCCGCTCGGTCGCGTAGCTGAGGCACTGCTCCATTTGGTGGCAGCTGGCAGCAATGCAACAGCACTTTGGAGTATTAAAATGAAACAAAGAAAAGGACTGAGAGCTACTGAAGTAGCCCCACTGCTTGCAAAGGGAAGGCCACAGGACCTCCATCCTTTCCACCATCAAAGCAAAAGACGGGGTTGCAGSAGGACACAACTTTCCCTCTTGTTTGATAACAGAGCTAGGTTTCCTCCTGTACTTTTTTTTTTTTTTTTTTCATTTTGCAATATCTAGTTTGTGATGCACTCTATGGTAGAGAAAAAAAAAAAAAAGTTAGATTTTAATCCTCTAGKCTCAAGCCTGTGTCTGTCTCCCCAAGATCAAGTACTTTACATGGGAGACGTTACTTCTCCTCTGACCACTAGGGGATTCTTCTTTTTCTGCCTCAAAACGGCCAGCACACTGCTGSCTTCTGCCAGAAAGAGGATATTGCGCTAGGCAGTTTTGAGTAGAGCCAGTCAGGCAATTCTGCTGATCCCCAAATGAAGGGAGAGCGACAGTAATTACAGGGAAACCGGAGTTTTCAAGTTTATCAGGTTAGAGGAGCTAGGGCTGTAACCTCGGGAGCGGTTCCTCATCACTGTCTCAGCAAGAACCTTACCTTGGAGCTGCTTCACCTCCTTACACACGAGCCCGGTGTGCTTGAGGTGCTGAGCACGACACTCGCACTTCCCAGAGCCGGGTGCTGTCCCATCAGCTCAGCGTCCCGACCTAACTGACAAAGCTGGGCTTTAGCATTAGCCAACTGCTCAAACACCGGCTGAGCTCGCAGGGCACCCCTTGCACGAATATTACCCCAGCAGGATGCAAGGGCTGGGGCTGGTGGCATCTGATACGTTTTAACCCTGATCACAATTTATATGTCCGTGTTGCCTTAGCTTTTCAAGACACTTTTGCAAGAGAAATAACCAGCTTATTTGAAAACAGGGCAAGGTGTAAAAGTGGCCCTCATTTCCAAGCTCCTCCTGAAAGTGGAGGTGATGGCCCGAGGAGCCCCGCATCTTGGCACCGGGCTGCGGGAGGGTAAATCACARCAGGACTCGGGCCCAGAGAGGTTTCCTGCAGGTGGAAAAGCTCCTGGAGCGGCCAAGAGCGCCCGCCGCCTGCCAAGGAGAGCCGGGTGCGCCCGTGCCTCCCCGCCAGCCCTAACCACACGGGAAACCCTACAGGAAGCTGTCGCCCACTGCACTACRGGGGGAAAAAACAGGCGTTTTCTGGAAAATAAAAGAGAAATAACGACCAACTCGGCGGCGCTGGCGCGGGCAGGGCGCCGCGCAGCCCGGCGCGCTCGCGCGTGC